CTAGGGTGGTGACTGCCTGGGTCTCTGTCGCCTCAGAGGTCAACTCCAGAACTCTCATTGACCAACCTTTTCTCCTCAGATCTGCAGGTTCTGGTGGATATGTTCAGACAAACCTCATCTTCACCATATGTGCATCCTGTGTCATCTAGACAAGTGTTCAGTGAGCTGGGTGCAGGAAGCACAGCGCCTAGAAACAGACATGTTGGTGGAACCCCTTTTCCTTCTTGATCCTAGAGCCTGTTTATGGGACAATAGCAGAGCAGCTAGAACAAACCAGTCCCTGAAATCAAGGCTTTCCAAGGAGACCCCACTGAATTCTCCCTCAGGAAGGTCACATAGGATGAAAAGGGACATTACTGTTGCCTCATTATGTCCTGAACTCCACCAGAAATAAACCAGCTATTTTCTGAAAGGCCACAGGTCTAGCTAGGGTGGGAAAGGAGTTTTCTGCCAGCCTCATCTTTGGTCTAACATAAGCATTTTCTCATAGGTGCCTGGCCACATCCCTAGTCTTGGATCCCAAGAATTCCTGACCTGAGTATGTGCACACTTACCATGAGTGACATGGAGGGAAAAGAGCACCTCTCACCTCCCCTGCTTTGCAGACTAGTGTGGCATTGTCAGAGCTCCAGAGGAACTCAGAGATTCCACACACCAACAGGAGGCCATGCTGTGGAGGACAATGGCATGGTTTCTCTTCCACCATCCAACTACAGACAAGGACTCCAAGTTAACAACAAGAACTGTGGAATCTACAGGAGTGGTCCCTTGTGACAGCCTCCCCATGGGTACTTACTGTTGAAGCCTTGCCCAACTTAGACCCCTTTGCATTTTGACAGTTTGGAAATTCACATATGCCTCTGTGTCTTAGCACATAATCCAGAAAACCTGCCTGACCATGTAAACAAATATCTCAGAGGAACCTTGGGAATTAAATGTGCTTCCCTTCCTGAACTGATGAGTGGATTCGTGAGAAGGGCAGTATCCATGGATCACCTGTCCCAGGCCTCCACTAACATGAAGAAGGAGAAATTGAGGTCATACCCTCGGCCCATCTTTCACTGGTATTAGACTGAGACAATTTTCAAACAAATACAGACGCACTTAATTAGAATAACAACATAATTTCTATAAATTGGCATTCAGAATGTTTGACCCCTGGAGGAGAGAAATCTGAAGCTATATGAGCTCTCAGGTTCTACCAGCTGTTATTCTAAAGGCAACAGATGTTTGCACTTCATCTATACACTCAACAAAATCCAGTCTGATGCTCAAACACAAGATGTAAAAACCAACTGGACCTAAACCTAGAAGAGAGGGCAGAGGACAGGAGAGATTCCTCCCGACCATCATCTTCTTCTTCCAGGACTTCCCACCAAGTCTCAAAGATCCACAAAGGGCTACAGGGAAGTAATGGAGACAGGACACATGGAACATAACAGAAAGTTAAGTAACAGACCCAGTGAAATCCTGCCAGCTGATGTTCTCATAGTCAACCAGGGAAATCAAGGCAGAGAGAGTGGCTTGTCCACAAATGACTGCAGAAGAAGATTTAAAAACAAGAATAAGGAACCCCTTTTAAAAACAAGAATGAGGAGTCCCTTCTAAAAACAAGAAACATGGGCTG